ACTGGAGCCTGTCAGTCAATGGCCAGGAGCTGGCGGGGATCAGGGGGCTGGCTCGTTAAGTGCATTTTAGCCGAAACGTTTTCAATTTGGCCCGAGTCAGTCTATTTTTAGGCTAGGCCCGACACAAAGCACTATATTTTGCCGGACTATAAGTAATGATGTGACGATTTGGCAGCAACCGAATGAGGTGAGTGCACTGGAATGGGCTGCGATCCATACCCATATACATCTGCATACACGTATATTCCTGGCGTGGGCGTTCCCTAATATGGTTCATTGGCCCCAGGTCGTGTTTTCCTTTACCCACGCAGTTCAAGGCCCCGTTTTTTTGTCGGTTGTTGATTAAAGTCTGGGCATACAAATTTACCTATACATTGCTTGGGGGACCTTGGTTTCCAGGGAAAAGTGGAGCATAGTAATAATAATAAATAATAATAGCTAGAGGAAACCCAAAGTGGGAATCCAATATCCCGTATTCCACTTTTGGAACTTAATTTGCTTCTATTAATTTGCAATTAGGTGGGAACGGGGAACCAAATCATATACGGATAACCAATTTTCCTACAATTCCAACTGTTTCCTCTTAAAGAGTATCTCAAATTTCCAGCCATAACTCGTGGTGAGAATGTTCTCTACTTTGTTTGTTTGTTGCTGCCGTTAAATAAAATTTACTTTACCATGCACTTTGGGCATACATTCTGCTCTGTAAAAGTAGCCGGAGTCCTTGTTTTCGTGTTTCTTCTCTCGATTTTTTGTTTCCTTCGGCGAGGAACCCAGCTTGGGTCGTTTGCCCAGTCTGATAAATTGTTTCCGTAGAGAACGCTGCACGTAATTGCTGAGCGGATCGATGAAAAGTAGCTTAAGGATGCCGGGCCAGAGTGAGTTGTTGTTGCAGCTACAGCACTGCTGCTGTTGCTGTTGCCTGTGACAAGGCCAACTAATTTGTACACTTCACTCGAGAAACCGAACGACAGTTGGCACAAAAATAAGACAATGTTCAAAAGTGCAGAGCCAACTCATTGCAGCACCCAACTTGTTTCCGTGTGAAATGTAATGCAATTTCATGTCAAAAACCAACACAGACGACAGGACTCAGTGGCAAACTTTAAAGTGATATTTTTGTGTCGGTTGCTACGGCGTACAGCACACCTGTCCTGTTCCGTTTGCCTTCCACCACCTTCGTGCTTCCAGGCTTCGTCCTGCCGACTTTATCCTTCCTCCTGCTGCCATCTTCGAGTTCGTGGGCTGCCGTGCGGCTGTCTCCTCTTGGTTTTTGCTGTCACTGCAGCAGCAGCAGCAGAAGTAGCAGCAGCAGCAGCAGCAGAAGTAGCAGCAGCACCAGCAGACAGAAGTGTCAGTCATGAGGCCGCAAGAAAACAAACTTCAGCCTGCTTCCTGTCCCGCCTCACTCCTTTTCCCGATGGCCCCTTTCGCTCCTTTCGCTCCTTTTGCTCCCTTTGCTCCTCTCATTCCGCTCATCCTCGACCGCAGCACATGCCGCTTACTTCCGCTTTTGAGTGTTAAGCAACGCACACAGACGGAAATACACTCGAAAACACACTGCGAAAGATGGGGAGTCAACGAAATTCAATTGGAATTTAAAGTAGCAAGAATTAATAATTATATAAAACAAAATTTTGCTGTAACGATTTAAGTGTATATTTTTACCAATAGATGTACCACTTTTGCCTTACAAGCAGCCATGAGGCTATTATTTCTCCCGGTGTGGTATCTGGCACACTCATAGATTTCGTTGTCCTTTGACATGCATGTCTCGGTCTTTAGCTGTTCAACCTGTCTGCTGCTAGCTCTCTGTGTGCAGTTTTTGTCATTTCTCGTTCTTGCCGTGCGCCTGAAGGCTGTGGAAGTTATGACAAAAACTGCCACGCCTCCCGCCCATTCTGCCCCCCTCGCCCCCACCCAACTGCCCAAGATCCTTTGGCCGGAAAAAGGATAGAGGCGAAGTGGCTGGGCGAAAGACCAAAAAGTGCATGGGAAGCGTTAAAGGTGATTCACTTGTTTGTTGCTTGTTTGTTTGCAATTTGCTGCCATAATTCTGTAGTAGTTGGCGCACGGTTTTCGCGCTCCAGGATTTAGATATCTGCCAAAGCTGGTTGTCTTGGAGCGGGCGTGGAAATTCTCAGGGCAACGCACTTGATGCTCAAACAAGATGGAATTTCAGGGCAGATTAATTTTTTATCTTCGGAAATATCCGTACTTACAGACTTGTATATTTATTGTGGCAAGCATATTAAGAGGATGAATAAATAAAGGTAATTCGGCCTGTAAAAGATGTGAGTGCACACCTGCACACCAGCCACACCTGTTTTTATATTTGTTTCGTTTTGAAATGCAAATTCGAACAATGTTTCAAGGGCATTCAGAGCCATTTCCCCAACGGATACTTTTAGCGTCACTGTTTATGGGGCGTATACGTGATGTTTTCGTTTGCATCTGTACCTCAGCTAAATGTGAATGCTCACCATTTTGGTGGCCATATCAATTTCGCCATCGCTTGCTTTTGGACCACATTACCGTTAAAATTGTATTGGATTGGTCCTGGATGCTTTGCTGACCGACTGGATAACCGAATGGCTATTGTGGCCCCAAGTCACTGCCAGATTGAGTTTCCCGGCATCCTTTTTCCAGCCCGTCTGCATTCAGTCGGATTTTGCCACTCATATATATATATATTGTATATATATATATAGATACTGGTATATAAACCCTTACATGTGTAGCTATGTGTTTTTATAGAGTTTTTTCCTTATAGCCACACGAAGTTCTTCTTAAAATGCAATTTTCAAGATTTTCTTTTCCTTTCAGCTCGTTTGGCTGGCGCCATTTCAGTTCTTGCCCGCCGATTTTGAGCCGTTCCCCCCGCTCTGCTCAACTGGCCAACACTTTTGGCTCTGGCCACGCCCCCCTTTGGTTCTGCTTGCATGTGTCAAAAGGTATTTTTTATGTTCAGTTTCGTGTTTTCCAGCATTTTTCCAACGTTTTATTTTTCCTCCTCCTGGCTTTGGCCGGGTTGGCTTGCTTGCCTCGGTTTGGTTCAGAGGACATTCGAGGCGGGGGGCGAGTCGAGTCCCATCTTGTGTGCAGGTAATGTGGCACTTGGCTAAAATGGTGTGTGAAATTTTATGCGAAACGGCTTAAGATGTTGTTGCTGTGGCCGGAGTTGTTGCCGTGCTTGTTGTGCTGATATTTCTGGAACGGAACACAATCATTCTGCTATGTTGCACATAAAAAGTTACGTTGAGTGGCAGTATATATGTATATACGTGTGTAGTTCCCAGTCCGATTGCTTTCTCTACTATTCTCTGACCGAAGCTCTGCTGATGATGACATTTTCGTTTTGGTCGCTCGGATTGGCAGCAACACACACAAAACTGGTAGAAGGGAAAAAAAAGAAATCCCTGAAAAAAGATTAGTTAGCTTGGGAGGGTTTAGTTTCAGTTCCATCTTTTTTACGGACTTAAGTCAATGTTGTTAGTTTGGATTCTGGGAATGGCAAATGGCCTGAGAATGAAACTCGATTTCGATTGCGTTCTTGTATTTTTTTTTTTTGTTTGCCTCTCGGTTTTTGTCATGGAAACATTTTTCGCTTTGTTATTGAGTGTGCCAGAATTGGTCTTCATTTCCAGCTACCACATTCGAAGTAATCATCTGGCTACAAAAAATATAGAGTGGGTCAACCGACGGCTGCATCTAAAATATACTGAATACAAATATTTTCATTGCGTTAATAGTACAGGATTTAAGTTCCGATAAGTGCGAAGAGTTTTAGGGAAACCCACATGGCAACGGCTATTTTTAAAGCTTGAAATGGAAACTAAATAATATCGAAATATTCCATTTAGTCCCAGGCCGACTTATTTTTTTTCTAATTGAAATTGAATGTTTTAAAAGCCTCGAATGTGTAGATGCACTTGCCAAATTACAAACTGTGTTTTGTAACTCAGTTAAATGTTGTTGTCTTTTTTGACCTTATACGTAACTTTTTTCAAAAGGATTCGCCACACAAATAATGTGCCACTCATTATAGAGCAATGAAATCCAGTATAAAAGTGAGTTCCATATAACGAGGCTGAAATACCCTGTAGTAAAGAGTAAAATATATGCATTCGGGGAAATATTGCTATATGAAAACATTCACTTAAGAAATCACAGTTGTACTCATAATTATAAGTATAAGTATTAAGCACCTTTGTAGTGCAACAAAAGAGTTGTCATATATCTCGTCCGTTTCCAGAGCAGATAAGTTTTACATTTTAATTTGCATTTCGAAAAAACGAGCTTTCTTTTTTTGGACGGCGTGCAGTTGGACGAAAGCGTTTTACATGTCAAAGGAGTAGTAGCGTGTCCGTGCAGATAAAACAACTCTTTTTGGAGCAGGAAAGGACACCGAATCCTGGGGGCTTTCACCGGAAATGGCTGTTTCTCTAAAGCGTGTTTTTGCATTTCCGTGCTGTCGTGCTTTTTTGATGTTTCATCCCGGTGAAAACTCGTCAATTACAGAAAACAATGACAAGCACCATCAGCATCAAAGGTATGCGATCTCACCTTCCACATCTGTCGGCGCCATCATATTTTCCAAATTGCTTGTAAAAATACCTTTTAATTGGCTGCCAGAAAGGGGATTCCAACCCATCCAGTGGGCACTCTTCACACTCAAAATTTTAGCACGGCCTGGTATTAATTCAATTAAAACTAAAATGCGGGAATGAGGTAAAATCTAGTTAGCAAGCAGGCTTCTGATTTGCTTTGTTCATGTTTTTGACACTTTTAATGGATAGGCACAGCAAAATCATTAATTATGTTTCGAAATTCGAATGGAAAATGCATGTCACATGCCGGATCAGGCAATTAGATGACAATTGGGCAGGTCTTTGAAGAGCTAGTACCGAAAATAAATCGTCACATAGAAGGGATGATAAGTTTATTTGGAGGTTAATTTAAGCCCCAGTGCTTAGTTATTTAACTAACAAAAACCTGACTTAAATGCCTTGCAAAGTGTGTCTAGACAGACTGCCCATACTGTTATTACCCACTTCAGGATGGGAGTAGGTGGACTGCAACGATATAACCGTGCTGCGCTCCTGGTGACTGGGAAATCGTGTGGCCTCCTTTGAAATGAAGTTGAGGTTCTCATCAATGCCCACCAAATAGGTAGGAATTTTGCCACGCCCCTTTACAAAAGTCTGGCCGCGATATGAACAGGAAATGCCGAAGTCTTGCAGAATCCTGGCTGTCTCCTCCGTCACCTGGATGTGTCCCGGCAGCCCCGTTGACTCCATTCGCGAGGCCATGTTAACCGGATTGCCCCAGATGTCGTAGTGCGGCTGCGATGCACCCACAATGCCGGCCATCACCTCGCCGCTGGAGATGCCGATGGCGATGGTTCCGTCCGTAATATTCCGATCACCAGCAATACTCTGGTACACCTCATTGCTATTGGCCAGGGTTCGCATCATGTCCAGCGCATACGAGGCCATCACAAAGACCACCTCCTCGATGTCCTCACCTTTCTCTTGGAACATAAGTCTTCGGTTGGGTCTATCATTGTCATCTGTGAAGCATTATTTTATACGTTTTTTCACTTCGATTTTCATTGGATTAATATCTACCAGTTGAAGGCATGCTCGTTTTGCGATTTGTACTTGTGGAGCCGGCGAAGTTAAGATCGAGTCCACACGCCGCCATGTACGTGCATCCGACGATTTTGATTTTCTCAACCGTGTAGTACTCCTTGTAGAAGAGCAACTAAAAGTGGGATAAGTAGCTTAATGTAATTGTTTTTCGCTTAAATACCTATTCCACAAATCAAATGTATTATTTTGTTGAAATATACAACCTTACCAAAGTATCAAAGTCGGCAATAATTTCGTTGAGCACCCTTAAGCTGCGCAGATCCATTTCAAAGTTAATCAGCATGGCAAACATGACAGAGACCATTTCATAGTTTTCGTAGTAGAGTTCGTGTTTGGCCAAAGAATTGAGATACACGTCGACTAGAAAATAAGTAATGTCTATCTGAATATCAATGTATCGAATTTACCAGTTCGAGACTAACCAATATGGGATGGCAGTATGTTGTTGAGGATAATTATGATCGAATGATTTGTAAGGCTGGCGTCATTCTCCTTTTTTCGCAGCTCAACACGCCAGCTGAGGGAACCCGATTGAATAGGAAGTAAAGTGTATATAAATTATAGCTAGCTCACTTGAAGTTTACTTTGTTGGTGAACTCTATTTGGCGCTCCTTCACAAACATTGTTAGGAAGGTGATGCAAACTAGCAGGGCATGGGCGTACTCGGATTTGAAAGAGGGGTTTGTCGTGATGCTGTGATGGAAGACGAAGTCAAACTGGAAGAAAATCAGCATCAGATAGCCGGCCGTCTCCAAAGTGGCCACTACTGTCTTGACCATGATGGGTATGTGGGTGAATGTAAAGGTCAAGCAAATCATCAGCGATATCATATTGGTCGTCACCCAGGGATGAAAGCATATCTTGGCCTCCTGCTCATAGTGAAAGAGTCTTTCCTCGATATAAGCCATCTCGAATTCATCCCGTTTGCAGCTCATCTGGTTGAAAGATTGACCACTCACCAAAACCGCGCCAACGTTGTTCCCAACTATAGATACTTACCACAATTACGCATATAACAAAAAAGCTCGATAACACTAAGAAGAGGTATATGCAGATGCGGATGGGCAAACTGCTGAGGATCTTCTCATGGACGTGAAATATGAAGCAACTAAATCGGTTGTATTGATGGGGCACGCTGTGTTGGCCATACCTGGTCCAGCAATACTTCTTGTACCACGCTATGAAGGTCAGAATGCACTGTATTATGGCCACTGTGGCTGGCAAAAAGATGCAGGAGGGGCATACAGCTTGGGTGTCCATCAGCTCGATGTACACCACGCCGCAGCCAACGCACCAGCCCAGAATAATGCTGTATTTGAACATATAGTCGGTTTGCTTCAGATAGTCTCTTTCCAGAGTACGGTCGGTGAAGGTCAGGCAAATGTTTAACTGGTGGTATGCAGGAAGTTCCTTTTTCGATTTGAGCCCACAAATGCCGAAGAGCGATTCGTGACTGAGATATATTTTATTTAGCAAATGGTTAATGTTACGACTCTTTGTGTACTTACTTAAATGCACTGACCGGCATTTTGCGAAACTCTTCCCGCAACTCTTCGTGGAAAACCGCCCTAATATTTTGATTAGCAGAATCACTCAGTCTTGGTCCTGCTCCCACCTCGAACAGGGAATGGGCATGTAGTTCGCCAAGGAAGTCGTCACTATCCTCATCGTCCATTTGCAGGTCCTGTCGAATTATATATGTTCCTACTCGGTATTTTTGCAGAAGAGGATGTTCCCGGGCAGTTTCAGGTCCATCCTCAATAGCAAAGCGATTAACGTTCAGATAGTTCAAGGTGGCACTACTTATGTGCACGAATCCCGGCACTCCAGTTGATTCCAGGACATTGGCAATGGTTACATCCAGTCCTAGAAGATATTTGAAAGTTGTATCAGTTGTATCCAGTTCGTACTGTCCAGTTACCCCATATATCGAACTGCAACTTGGCCTCCCCGATGACCCCTGCAAACAGATTGCCCGAGTGAACTCCAATGCGCATATTGATGTCCAGGCTGTGCAGGTCCCTGAAAATTATTTAGGAATACATATTATATATGCATAAAGGCAATGCAATTTGATACACTGATGCACTGAACTCACCGCACCTCCATGATGTTGGTGATCATGGAAAGGCCTAGGGAAACACAGTTGGTGGCGTGATCGGGATCGGGTTCGGACAGACCCGCCACACAATAGTAGCAGTCCCCCAGGAACTTGATGCGCTGCACCTTGTAGCGGTAGGCAGCCATATCGAATCTGCCGTAGAGATCGTGCAGGACCTTCACCAATTTTTCTACCGTCAGTGTGGTGGTCAACTGAGTGTAGTTCACCACGTCTGCATACAGGATGGAGACATCGGGATGGATTTGGATGGCCATTGTGCGCTCCAAGGCGGTCCAGGAGTGAACACCTTGATTGGCCATTATAATCCTGCCCTGAATGTGCTTCTGCAGGGGCAGCGAGATCTGCGGCGGCAGGATGCTGTCCAGCAACTGCTTCTCCTGCAGCCGGGCGTTGCGCAGCCAAATATTCTCCTTGATGTACTGGTGTCTGTCCAGGAATGAGGAGCGCACCACCGTGTCGTTCATAACGCGGTAGAATATGCCCACGAGATTAAGGCACAGGTAGTGCACAATGTCCACCGACATTCCGCCGACTGCGAATAGTGCAGTCACAAACTGAGCGAATCCCTGGGCAATGAAGAGCACGAAGTAAAGTATATAGATGCCGGACACCAGCAGAGCCAGCAGGACTGCCCCGCTTATGAAGTGGATCGGCAGGAACATGTATATCATGTATATTATGTACGTGTCGTAGAATGTGCCCAGTATCCAGTTGTGCGCATAGGTGTGGTAAATCGATTCAGAAAGGTCTACAATTAAATACTTGGATAGGAAGTTACTGCATCCAAGCGGATAATCAAATACTAACCAGCGAATACCAGAGTCATGGAGGCGAATATCGAGCTGGCATACATGTACCACGTGTGTTTCGCTATGAATTCATCGCAGAAGTTAACACTCAGCACAAGTATAAGTACCACGGAGCACGCCAAGGTAAGGGCCACATCAAAATAGATAATTGATACGCGCTACAGGAGTTCAACAGGAGGTAATACAGTACCATAACAATAAGAGGAAATGGAAATGTACAAAATGGAAGGGCAATCTTTTAGGATCTGTAGTTCGACTGCTGGGCACTCTATAGGATCCGGCACTAGCTCGTCGGCTTTAGGGTGAGCCGGTCTTGCCCATACAGGCAAATTAATTTAGTTAATTAATATTCGCCGTTGCAATGAAAAATATCTATACTTCTGAGGATCATGGCGGTAGTTTTTGAATTTAGTTTTGAATTTAATTTTGAGCACAAGACAAAATCAAATGCCTTAGAACTCACTGTTTTTCGACGAATACCCATTAATTAAATATGGTAATTAAATTGGCGGAAGTATCCAGAGCTGTCCTGGTACAGCTGATTTCGATATTTGTTACCTGTTGAAATTGCCTCAAAAAAATGCAAGCTACTCGGCACTAAACAATATATCCATTTAGACGAAACTAAATAGCCTTCAGTCGCCGCTACAGATCCAAAAGGTCGCTTTCGATGGTAAACCTTTTGTGCCCCTTTTGGTATAAATTGTGGCCAAGTTAGGCGGTTCTTACCTCAATTGTGGCTAGAAGTAGGGCACAGTGCACGCTGGTCACGAAAACATGCAGCACAAAGAAGGTGAGGAGGTAGCTCTTCCAAAGGCGTATCCTATACAATCGGAACTCGCTCTCCAATCGCAACTCTGCACATTTGGCCTGAAATATTCAGATTTTTAATAAAATTTTGTGTAGCACTAAACACCATGTTTTACCTTAAGATAGCCGGGTTCCCACATGCGTTCCCGTGCATAATTGAGCTGACAAATTCCTCGGTTGTTAGGCATTCTGATTTATAAGCTTATCTTACCTGGATTTTGTTTTCAATTGACAGTTGATCACATAGCCAACTCGAACAAGGTTTTTCTTTTAATAAAAAGATCATGTTAATCCCTGCAAAATATTCCAAAATTTGAGATAAACACGTTCTAATGTATTAAAAATATGTATTTTCAAACTAATTTTTACAAGGTTCCAGTTTTTACATCATTTTGTATGGCTACGCATCTCAAATTTTTCAGTCAAGAACTACGAACTCAAAATCTGAGAGACGTAGCCAACAATATGCAGTTGCGATTCAATTTCCATATTGTGACTAATTTTCCAAACAATTGTATGTCTTTGGAGCCGTGCAGGTCATGGGTTAGATGTTACGTTAGTGCCTCCCAAAAATATGAGACATTTTTCTGGATATGAACGACAGGTCCTTATCGATGCCCACAAAGTAGGTGGGAATTTCGCCACGTCCCTTCACAAAGGTTAAGCCGCGATAAGAGCACTGAATATCGAACTCCTCGAGTGTTTCTGCTGTCTCCTGTGTAACCTGTATAAGTCCAGACAAACCCGTCGATTCCATTCGGGAGGCCATATTGACCGGGTTGCCCCAGATGTCGTAGTGCGGCTGGGAAGCACCCACCACTCCGGCCATTATCTGACCCGTCGAGATACCGATCCTTATCTCACTGGTGGACAAAGCCCGGTCGAATTTTTCTTCGGCGTAAGTCTTGTTGCACACTGACAGGACACGCATCAGGTCCAGAGCAAACGTGGTCATTATAAAAGCCACCTCGTCATTGCTGTTGTCTTTTATGGTCGACTCCTGGCGACTGCGCACCTGCTCCACTGAAATAATCGGATACACCCATGTGGAATTAGAAAACCTCTGCTACGGATTTGAGTCGTCATGCATGGGTACTAACTTTCGAATGACAATGATGCACTTCCGAATTTCGAGGTGCTATCAGGGTTTTCGATCAGGCTGAAGTCCAATCCACAGGCCGCCATGTAAGTGCAGCCCACGACTTTGATCTTCTCGACTACGTAATATTCTTTGTAAGCATACAGCTGCAATCGGAAGCTATAATATAAAATATAATCAGTACAATAGCTCACCAGTCTGTCGAACTCTGTGATGATGTCATTTAGCACTCTTAGGCTGGGCAAGTCCATATGAAAGTCTGTGAGCATGGCAAACATGACCGATACCATTTGATAGTTTTCATAGTACAGTTCGTGATGGGCTAATGAATTGAGATATACCTCGACTGCGAAAGAGAAACGATAGGTTCATAGCAAGTAAGCTCCTTGGGGCGATAGTCTTTGAAAACTGACCAACATGGGAGGGAAGAATGTTGTTGAGCAGGATTATGATGGACTGGTTGGTTATATCGGCCGCCTTCTGCTTGTGCTGCAAATCCAAGTTGAGCCTGTAATCGGCGGAAATTCAGCTGACTTACAGAAAGTATGGGCTGGAGAAATTACTTGTAGTTCATTTTAGTATTGAACTCCGACTGACGCTCCTTCGCGTACATAGTGATCAGCATCATGCACACCCTGCAGCAATGCGCTATTTCAGCCTTCAGGAAAGGACATGTGGTGGAACTGTGCTCAAAGATGAACGCGAACTGGAAAAACACAATCAGCACAAAGAACACGGCTTCACAGCAGCCGATGAAGGTCTTGAGGGCGAAGGGGATGCGGGCAAAGGTGTAACTCATTCCCAGGATCAGGGCCATCATGTTGGTACAGGCCCAGGGGTGGAAGCAGGAAAACGGATCCATTTCATAGTGAAAGAGCTTGCTCTGAATGATGTCCAACTCGTATTGGTCCTGGTCGCAGTTTATCTTTGGGCACGCAAACATATTAAAGGCAGCTGTAAGCGCAACATAGTGCATAACCAAAGATACTAGAATAATAAGATGCGTAACGACCATACATTGATATGAATGATGATGAATATGAGCTAAATATTATTTACAAAATCTGTCCTGTTTTTTCATCTTTTTTTGAAATTTTCAGCCTATTTTTTCCGTTTTTTTTTTCTCAATCTGTTCAGCTCTAGAGCCAGCCCAAAAAAATCGTGTTACGCATCTTATTATTCTAGTGTCTTTGGCATAACTCACTAATATCAAGGAGATCACCAAGTAATAGCAGAGTATTATCATCATGTAGACCGTGAGGCGCAGGACAAAACTGTGCTGGATCTTTTCAAAGGTGTTGAATATCGCGCAGCTGAGTTTACTGTACCTCCTGTGCTCGTCCTTTCCACTGCGCCACCAACAGACTTTCTTGTACCAGCAGATGAATAGCAGGGAAGTCAGGAAGAGAAACGCGATCGTGTCTATTATAGCACCCGTATACCAGAGATATGCGTTGTTCACGTACTGGATGTAAATGAGGCAGCACCCAATGCCCCAGCCGAGCACCACTGAGTATTTAAATATATAGTCCGGCTGATGCAAATAGTCCCTTTCCAGAGTGCTGTCCTTGAATGCCACACAAAACATGCCCAAATCGCGTTCGACTTTCTCGTTCTTTAAGTTTATTTCTCGTCGCGACCAAGGGCAATGAAATCTGGGGTAATTTTGAAAATAATTTTGAAAAATTGTGTAATTTTTGATGTCCTTTGCCTACAGTGAGCGAACAGGTGCACTCTTTTCCCCAATACTCACTTGAAACCCCCCACCGGCATCTTGCTAAACTCATCCCGCAACTCTTCGGACAGTGAGACGGGTTTCGAAAGCTCGGATTTCCGGTTAGATCCCACGGTTTTCAGGTCCAGGTTAGCAACGGACCTAACTACGCTAGCAGTCTTATCTGAATCGCGGCTTGGTATGGCGGTCAGGAGGTAGGTGCTCATCGGATGCTTCTGCAGGACGGGATCCCTCAGGGCCTTTTCCGTGCCCGGATATATCTGGTAGTCCGCAGCGTTCAAGCTGCTAAGAGTGCGTCCACTGACATGCACATACCCGGGATTTCCGGTTGCTTCCAGCCGACTGGCGATGTTCACGTCGGACCCTGGAAAAGTCACGAGTAACTTTTGGATCATAGATGTCATGGGTCGTACCCCATATGTCGTACTGCAGCTTGGCCTCGCCGATCACTCCTGCAAACAGGCTTCCCGAATGGACCCCAATTCGCATGTCAATATTCAAAGAACGCTTCATCCTGCGTACAAAAGGATGCTCAAAAGGAAGACCACGTTAGAAGAATAAATAGGAAAAGGTAGCTTTGGCACCACAAGTCATAGATTGTAAACCTATTAGGATCGTAGTAATAAACATACCGCACCTCCTTAATGTTAGCAATCATGGAAATACCCAGAGAGACGGCCAAACTGGCGTGATCCGGGACAGACTCGCCCAGACCCGCCACACAGTAGTAGCAATCGCCCAGGAACTTGATGCGCTGCACCTTGAAAGCTGAGGCAGCCATATCGAATCTGGCGTACAGGTCGTGCAGGACCTTCACCAGCGTCTCCACCGTCAGTGTCGTCGTCAAGTGGGTGTAGTTCACCACATCTGCATACAGGATGCTGACATCGTTGTGGATCTGGATGGACATGAACTTCTCTGTTGTCCGGGAGCTGCCCAAATGGTAGAGGTCGGTATCGGGCCGCATGATCTTTTCCTTAATGCTTTTCTGAATAGGCTTTGCAATCTGGGGTGGCAGAATGCTGTCCAGAAGCAACGACTCTTGGCGGCGAGCTTGCCGAAGCCAGATCTCCTCCTTGATGAACTGGTATCGGTCCAGGAAAGAGGAGCGCACCATGGTGTCGTTCATGATCCTGAAGAATATGCCCATCATATTGAAGCCCAGGTGGTGAAAACAATCTATTGACACTATATCCAGACCGTAAACGTATTTTGCCGCATTATGATCGGTAAACAGTATAAAGTGTATGAAGTACAGGAGATATACAACACTGACTGAGATGGCTAGCAGAGCTGCTGCCTTGATCGAAGGAATTGGCAGGAACATGTAGATCATGCAGAGCACAAAGACATCGTATGAGGTATAAAGAGGCCAGTCGGTATGGTAGTAATGATAACTGTTGTGCGCTATATCTGGAACCCGGAGAAAATACTGCATGCGGATCTTAAGGATCGACTAATTTTCAATGAATCTTACCACCCAAAACCATCACATATGCCGACAAGGTCGAGGTGACAGTCATGACCCACCTGTGGCGATCTACAAATTTTTCAAAGAAATTGATGCTCAGTAAGCTCGTGACTAAAATCAACGATCCTCCGTCAATTATCACATTGATGTGCATGTATGTTTTGTACTGCGTAGAAGTAACTTTCGTTGAAATATCCAGAATTCCCACTAAAGGCGCTTACCTCGGTAAATGACCACTCGATTACCTGAAGACCTACGATCACTAGTATCAACAAGGGGTAGAAAACGGTGAGGTAACTGATCATCAAGCGAATCTTATATTTCATGTATTCCTCCTCTAAATTCAGCTCCTTACACTTGGCCTACGAGTATCTGTTGCATTCAAGAGCCTGAATTTAGGCAAACTCCTTACCTTCAAATAGCTTTGTTCCCACAGGCATTCATTAGTATATTCCAGGTAACATCGCCTAAACCTTTCCCTGTACGGCGTTTTACAAGTATTTTTGTTCATATTTTTATTTGTATTTTTTTGTACGTTTATTGTATGTATGAGAATTGACTAAGGACTAAGAGGACTAAGCCTGCTTAGAGCCACCAACCTACATTTAACCAACCTACAGTTGCCTGTCATTTGCCTTTATTTACATATCACAAAGCTTACTTTCAGTTAACAATTACTATTAGGTTTTGTGTATAAATTGAAAATATCTATACCGCACATATTTCTGTAAAATTTGAAAATGCTTCATATGTTTTCACTTGAATGGGTGCTTTCACTGTGATCTGGCACTAGAGAAGCCAAGACTGAAAAACGCTTTGACTGCTTTCTGTTCCTCCTATCCGAGGGCATAAACTTCAAGTTCTCATCGATGCCCACAAAGTAGGTGGGAATTTCGCCACGACCTTTTACAAAGGTCATGCCACGGTAAATGCACTGAATATCGAACTCCTCGAGAATTTCGGCCGTCTCCTCCGTCACCTGGATGTGTCCAGGCAGCCCTGTCGACTCCATTCGGGAGGCCATATTGACCGGGTTTCCCCAAATGTCGTAGTGCGGCTGAGAAGCACCCACCACGCCGGCCATTATCTCGCCGGTTGAGATTCCGATACAGATCTCTCCGGTGGACAGAGCCCGGTCGAATGGTTTTTCCCCGTACGCCTTGTTGCAGACGGAAATCACTCGCATTAGGTCCAGGGCAAACGTGGTCATTATAAAGGCCACCTCATCATGGTCGCTATCTAGGCATTTGGACTCTCTGCGATACAGCACCTGTTCATCTAAAAGAAAGAATTTATAAGCAATGCGGTTTATCCTCTCCATCATTGGGAATCCATCAGGACGGTGTACCTACATTCGGATGAGAAAGAGGCATTAGTAACCTGTACTTTGCTGCCAAATTTTGACTTGGCCAGGGTAAAATCAAGTCCACAAGCCGCCATGTAGGTGCAGCCAACGACTTTGATCTTCTCGACCACATAGTACTCCTTGTAGGCACTTAACTGAAATCGGAAGGTTATGCTTACAGTAAAGAAACCAATAGATTAGCTTACCAGTCTATCGAATTCTGTTATGATGTCGTTTAGCACTCGCAAGCTGGGCAAATCCATTTGAAAATTGATGAGCATGGCGAACATGACGGACACGCTTTTATAGTTTTCGTAGTACAGTTCGTGATGGGCTACTGAATCGAGATAAACCTCGACTGTGGGTGAAAACGTTTTTGATTGAAACAGTACGCTTTGGGGTAATATTGAGGTAAAAACTTACCCACATGGGAGGGAAGAATGTTAGTGAGTAGAATAATGATGGATTTGTTTGTGATGTCAGCCGACTTCTGCTTGATTTGCAAGTCCTGATTGATCCTGTTGACAGGGAAAACTTCACTGTATGGAGAAGTAGGAAGTGCATCAAACATACTTGAAGTTTATTTTAGTATTGAACTCCGACTGACGCTCCTTCGCGTACATCGTGAGAAACATCATGCACACCCGAAGACAGTGGGCTATTTCCGCCTTCATAAACGGAGTTATAGTGGCACTGTGGTGGAAAATGAATGAGAACTGGAAACCCACGACTATCAAGTAGGCGAGGGCCTCGCAGCAGCAAATGAATATCTTGAGGGCAAATGGGATGCGGGCAAAGGTGTAGCTCACGCCCATGACCAGGGAAATCATGTCCGTGAAGACCCACGGATGGAAGCAGTTGTCAGTGACGATGTCGTAGTGATAGAGCTTGCTGTTGATGACATCCAGCTCGTACTGATTTTTGTCGCAGTTTAGCTGAATAGAGGGATAAAACTGGTAACGCGGTGTACTAAGCTGTACTAAGTAGTTGTAAACTTACTAATATCGTGGAGATTACCAGGTAATAGCTCCCAACTATGGTCAGATAGATAGTAACGCGCAGGACGAAACTGTGCTGGATTCGCTCAAAGATCTTGAACAGCTTGCAGCTGACTCTGCCATGCTTTAGGAATTCATCCTCTGCACTCCTCCACCAGCACACCTTCTTGTACCAGGAGATAAAGAGCAAGGAAGTCAGGAAGGTAAACACGACCACGTCGATCATGATGCATTCCATACAAATGCTGTATTTGTCGTGCACTACCTGTATGTAGATAAGGCAGCATCCAATTGCCCAAGCCAGCAGCACTGAGTATTTCAAGATGAAGTCTGGCTTATGCAAATAACTCCTTTCCAGAGACGGATCCTTGAACGCCACACAAAATACGCCCAAGTCACGATTGACTTTCTCATCACTCGCATTTGTGTCGCGGCAGCACGGCGATCGAATTCTGTGCATAATTATTATTCGTCATTTGATTATCATTCAAACATCGCTTAACACCTACTGAACGCCTCCCACTGGCATCTTTTTAAACTCCTCACGCAACTCATCTGACATTACGGTAGGCTTCAAAATCGGGCTTTTCCGGGACGCTCCCAACGCCTTTATATTGATGTCGGCGTAGGAGTGCACTGCATCCACGGGTCTGACTGAATTGCGGCTTGGAGCGGCCGTCAGGAGGTAGGTGCTCATTGGATGTTTCTGCAGTACGGGATCCCTCTGGGCCACTTCCGTTCCCGGAAATATCGTGTAGTGAGATACGTTCAGGCTACTCAGGGTGCGACCACTAACATGCACGTAACCGGGTTTTCCGGTTGCCTCCAGCCGATTGGCAATATCCACATCGGGACCTAGGAAGCCAATTATCCGATCAAGCTGCCACTTACACCTGGTTAACCTACCCCATATGTCATACTGCAGCTTCGCATATCCGATCACACCTGCGAGCAGAGTGCCCGAATGGACCCCTATTCGCATGTCGATGTCCAATGCACGGTAGGAACTACGGATGGAAGGGTGATATGAGTGCGGAGAGACTGAAGATGCATTTGGGAAACATACCGCACCTCCTGGATGTTTGCAATCATGGAAATCCCCAGGGACACAGCCATCTTAGCGTGGTCGGGATCAGATTCCCCTAAGCCCGCCACACAGTAGTAGCAATCGCCCAGGAACTTGATGCGCTGCACCTTGAATGTGGAGGCGGCCATATCGAATCTGCCGTATAGATCGTGCAGGACCTTGACCAACTTCTCCACCGACAGTGTCGTCGTCAATTGGGTGTAGTTCACCACATCTGCGTACAGGATGGAAACGTCTGGATGGACTTGAATGGCCATAAAGTTATCTGATTTCCGGGGATTGGCGAGATAGCGGTCTGAATCGCTTTCGGACGCTATGATCCTTTCCATAATGCTGTGCTGGATGGGCTTTGCAATCTGAGGGGGAAGAATGCTGTCCAGCAGCATCGATTCTTGCTGGCGAGCTTGTCGAAGCCATATCTCCTCCCTGAGGAACTGGTATCGGTCCAGGAAAGAGGAGCGCACCATGGTGTCGTTCATGATGCGGAAGAAAATGCCCATTAGGTTGAAACCCAAATAGTGAAATATGGCGACGCAAATTGTATTAAGGTCATAAACCATATCTGAAATATCTTCATCGTCCTGCATTAAAAAGTAGGTGAATAATCCCATGTACATAAGACTGACCGAGGAGGCCAGTAGGGTTGCATCCCTGATCGAAGGAATTGGCAGGAACATGTAAATCATGCAGAGCACGAAGACATCGTATGCTGTATTGAGAGGCCAGTGATTATTGAAGTGGTACACTAATATCTGAAATATATCTAAAAATTAAAGACAGTTAGGGATAACAGTGGGGTCCAAGCTAATAAACTTACCGACAAGTACCACAATATACGTGGACAAAATCGAAGTAAACACCATAACCCACCTGTGGCGCAGCACAAAGCTCTCAAAGAAATTTATGCTCAAAGTGCCAGGAACAGTAACTAATAAAATTACGGCCGATATCATTTCGAAGAAGATGAGTTTTTTTTGCTGCAAAGAAGCTTGTTAATCAGAAACGCTTTATGGATCACCTTCGAACTCTCACCTCGGAGAAAATCCATGGGCATACTTCGCAGCCTAAGACCACAAATATAAACAAAGGGAAGAAGACGGTGAGGTAACTGATCATGAGTCGGATCTGATATTTTTCATACTCTTCTTCTAGACACAATTCCTTACATCTGGCCTACGAAGCAAACATTAAGTAACCTAAAGTCTGGGGGATTTTTCACCTTTAAATATTTTGGTTCCCACATTTGCTCATCACTGAAGTCCAGATAACAGTTCTTCTTTCTGCTTTGAGTTTTAAACGATGCTTTCTTGTGCATATTTTCGAAATTTCAAAACCCTTTTTTACTATCTACACTATTTTCTCGTATCTCGATTTAAAATAGAATGAAATTCCACGCACATTGATTGAAAAGCACAAGGTTACATATCAAAAATATATATTTCAGTAATGTTTGGAAAAGTATACCAAATTATTCACTGGATTCTTGATCACTAGTCGAACTCCTCCTAAGGCTGTCCGGATCTAGTGAAGACATAACTGAGAAACGTCTTGACAAACTACGATTGACCAATTTTGCGGACATAAATTTGAGGTTCTCGTCGATGCCCACGAAATAGGTGGGTATGTCACCACGACCCTTCACATAGGTCATGCCGCGGTATATACATTTAATGTCGAACTCCTGAAGAATTTTCGCTGACTCCTCCGTCACCTGGATGTGTCCAGGCAGCCCGGTCGATTCCATTCGGGAGGCCATATTCACAGGGTTTCCCCAGATGTCGTAGTGCGGCTGAGAAGCACCCACCACGCCGGCCATTATCTCGCCGCTGGAGATCCCGATGCAGATCCTCCCATTGGAAATGGACCGCTCGAATAATATGCTCGAGTACGCCCGGTTGCATGCCGCAAGGGTTCGCATCAGGTCCAGGGCGAATGTGGTCATTATGAAGACCACCTCATCGTTGTTCACATCGCTGTCGTAGTTCTCGTCCGTCATCCTGTGATTACGAGCTTGTTCCACTGGAATGAGGTTTGGATGAAAATTACGGGTTAGGAAGCATATTTTATATAATAATATATATAATTATAATCTGGCTACGCCTGTGTGTTAGGTTTCTCACTTACTCTCAACATGTAGGGAACTATTGCGAAAGTGATTGGTTTGGCGGATGTTTGAGGCCATGTTGAAGTCCAGTCCACAAGCTGCCATATAAGTCCAGCCCACGACTTTGATCTTTTCCACCACGTAGTATTCCCTGTAAGCAGTCAACTGCGATCGTATGGAAGTATTAGAATGCCAATGGGTTCGGTAAAAGCAGCTCACCAGTCTATCGAATTCTGTGATGATATCGTTAAGCACTCGGAGGCTGGGCAAGTTCATTGGAAAATCTTTGAGCGTGGCAAACATGACTGATACCATTGGATAATTTTCACAGTAGAGTTCGTGTTTGGCTAACGAATTGAGATAGAGGTCAACTGCGAAAGAAAGCGAATGAATGAAATGTGGGAAATGTTGGGAAATATCCCCTAAGACTGACCAACATGAGAAGGAAGTATGTTATTGAGCAGGATTATGATCGACTGGTTTGTTAAATCGGCTGCTTTTTGCTTGTTTTGCAAGTCCACATTTAGCCTGTTAACAGCACGAGGATTAGGCTGATTAAGGGCAAGATCTAAGGCAACAACATACTTATAGTTCATTTTGGTATTGAACTCTGACTGTCGCTCCTTTGCGTACATCGTGAGCAACATCATGCACACCCGAAGACAGTGGGCTATTTCCGCCTTCATAAATGGAGTTGTGGTGGCACTGTGCTGGAAAATGAATGCAAACTGGAAAAATACGATTAGCAAGTAGGCGAGGGTCTCGCAGCAGCTGATGAATATCTTGAGGGCAAATGGGATGCGGGCGAAGGTGTAGCTTATGCCCAGGATCAGGGAAATCATGTTTGTGAAGACCCAGGGATGGAAACAGGTATCCCGATCCATTTCGTAGTGGTAGAGCTTGCTCTCAATGTAACTCAACTGGTACAAGTCGCGGTCACAGTTTATCTGCAAGTTTAGAATTGATTACAACGAATAAATGATACTGCGTAAAACTCACTATTATCAAGGAGATCACGGAATAGTAGGACAATAAGATCCCCAGATAGACGGTAATGCGCAGAGACACGCTGTGTTGGATCTTTTCAAAAGTGTGGAACGCAAGACAGCTGTATTTTCCATAGGTCTTGAACTCGTAGCGTCCGCTTTTCCACCAACACACGTTCTTGTACCACGCGAGGCACAGCAAGGAAGTCAGAAAGAAGAACGTGACCAAGTCGACCACAATGCAGGAAGGGCAAGAAAAGTTGTTGGTCACTATCTGGATATAGATCAGGCAGCACCCGATTCCCCAGGCCAGCAGCATTGAGGACTTGAAGATGAAGTCCGGCTGGTGCATGTAGTTCCATTCCAGAGTAGAGTCCTTGAACGCTGCGCAAAATATCCCGATCTCGCGCCGGGCCTTCTTATGAGTGTCCACGCTGGTCCGTTGGCAGCAGGGCGAGTTAAAGCTACAATGGAAGTGGAAAGCTTAAGTAACTACATATGCAGTAATATTACAGTTAATATTGCACAGAATTACACTTACTTAATGCCCCCAACTGGCATATTCCGGAACTCCTCGCGCAACTCTTCGGTCATTGATGATTGACTTGGCCTGCCTGACCGGATGCGTTCGATTGACCTTATTTCAAGAATTGAACCGGATAAAAGTCCACCAAGCGAAGATAAGACTGATTCGCGGGCCTGTTGGCCAGTAAGTAGATAGGTGCTTATATACCGCAGCACTGGATCCTTTCGAGCCTTGGGCGTACCAGTCAATATGGTATAATCCGCTGGATTCAGCATACTCAGGGTTCGTCCACTCACGTGTACGTAACCTGGTTTCCCAGAGGACTCCAGATGATTGGCGATCTCCACGTCAGTGCCTGTCGAGGGTTTACTTGGTAAAATTACATTAAATGCACCACTTTTTACTAGCCAAGAGTACCCCACCCCATATGTCGAACTGCAGCTTGGCCTCGCCGATAATCCCAGCGAGCAGGGAGCCCGAATGAACCCCTATGCGCATGTCGATGTCCAATTCACGTTCAGCCCTGTCGAATGGTGAAGAGCGTAGTAAAGTGGGCCTATTCCCCTTTTCAGTGGCTAACGTACCGAACTTCCTGGATGTTGGTAATCATGGATATGCCCAAGGACACGCAACACTTGGCGTGATCTGGATCCGGCGTAGTCAAACCCGCCACACAGTAGTAGCAATCGCCCAGGAACTTGATGCGCTGCACCTTGAAATTAGAGGCGGCGATGTCAAATCTGCCGTATAGATCGTGCAGGACCTTCACCAGGTTTTCCACCGTCAATGTCGTGGTCAAATGGGTGTAGTTGACCACATCGGCGTAGAGGATGCTGACATCAGGATGAATTTGGATGGCCATGAAGCTTTCTGTCAAACGAGGACGCATTTGGAATCGTTCGGGGTTATTTTCGGCCTGGATTATTTTGCTCTTGATTTTTTCCTGAAGAGGTTTCGCAATCTGAGGCGGTAGTATGCTGTCCAGTAGTATCGATTCCTGGTGCAAGGCATGGCGCAACCAAGTCTCCTCCATGATGAACTGGTGGCGGTCCAGGAAGGAGGCGCGCACCATGGTGTCGTTCATAATGCGAAAAAATATGCCCATCATGTTGAAGCCCAGGTTGTGCAATATATCAGTGGACATCACATCGAAGCCGAAACTATCGCGCTCAGTGTACACTGCGTTGAAAGTGAGCGAGTGCATAAAAAAGGCCACATATATAAGGCTGACTGAGGTTGCCAATAGGGCAGCTCCCTTGATCGAGGGAATTGGCATGAACATGTAGATCATGCACAGTGCGAAGACGTCAAATGAGGTGTTAAGGGGCCAGTTGTGCACGTAATAGTGATAGGTGATCAGAGCGATATCTGAAAATGAACAGTCTGCAAAGTGAATACTCCAATATATAATTTGATAAACAAACCAGAAAGTACCACCATATATACCGACAGCACTGAGCTGACTATCATGACCCATTGATGGCGACTGACAAATTTTTCGAAGAAATTGATGCTCAACAAGGTTAGTACCAGGATAGTGTTTACTACTCTGACAATCAAGTTAACGACGATGTCATTGTATTGCTGCATGAGAGTTTATTTAGCTGAATTGGCTTAGCTGAAATATCATCAAATATTACCTGTACGCTGAGCATTTCGATTGTCAAAAAGCTTATGCCCAGAATTATAAACAAGAGGTAAAAAATGGTGAGGTTACTGACCATCAGACGGACCTGGTAGTTCCTATACTCCTCCTCCAAATGTAGCTCCTTGCATTTTTCCTACGGACGAAAACCTCATCAACTGAATTAGGGTGGACCAAAGCTTACCCTCAAGTAACTGTGTTCCCATAGCCGCTCGTCAGCATAGTCGAGATGACATGGTCTGAGCTTCCTCTTTATTAACGGGGATTTCTGCACGGTACTTTTGGGAAAGTTCATGGTTTTGGCTTGTGTTCTGTGTAAGTTAATTTAAAATGAGTGTAGCGCCTAAGCTTGCTATGTTTTTTTCTAAAATTATTTGTTGGTTGAAAATTTGTTTTCCTATATTTAGTTCGCTCGTGCTGGACTTACGAGTATCTTTGGCGAAAAAAATATTAAAAACGAGATAGAATGCTATAGTCGAAATCCCCGACTATCCGCTACCCATTACTCAGCTAGTAGAAGTGCAAACGAGAAATTTCAACATTTTCTGGTATGTCGGTAGAAATTCCTGAGATCGAGCGCACATACGGACAAATGAACATGGACATGTCCAGTTCGACTTAAAAAAAATAAATTTTTAAATTTAAGTGCAGATTTTTAGAGAATTGCGCCAGAAACATTTAGAGGTATGTCACTTCAAAATCCGATTAAGTCAAGTTAAGTTATGGAGTATAGAACTTCAGCCTTGGGTCATTTTTTACTTTTTCGAATTTCTAACATCAAAAAAATTACAAAAATATTAAAAAAAATAAATTTCTAAATTTGAATGCAGTTTTATAGAGAATTGCAGCAGAAACATTTAGAGGTATGCCACTTCAAAATCCGATGAGGATAAGTTGAGTTATGGAGTATAGAACTTCAGCCTTGGGTCATTTTTTACTTTTTCGAATTTCTAACATCAAAAAAATTACAAAAATATTAAAAAAAATAAATTTCTAAATTTGAATGCAGTTTTATAGAGAATTGCAGCAGAAACATTTAGAGGTATGCCACTTCAAAATCCGATGAGGATAAGTTGAGTTATGGAGTATAGAACTTTAGCCTTGGGTCATTTTTTAATTTTTTCGAATTTCTAACATCAAAAAAATTACAAAAAAATAAATTTCTAAATTTGAATGCAGTTTTATAGAGAATTGCACCCGAAACATTTAGAGGTATGCCACTTCAAAATCCGATGAGGATAAGTTGAGTTATGGAGTATAGAACTTCAGCCTTGGGTCATTTTTTACTTTTTTCGAATTTCTAACATCAAAAAAATTACAAAAAAATTAAAAAAAAATAAATTTCTAAATTTGAATGCAGTTTTATAGAGAATTGCACCAGAAACATTTAGAGGTATGCCACTTCAAAATCCGATGAGGATAAGTTGAGTTATGGAGTATAGAACTTTAGCCTTGGGTCATTTTTTAATTTTTTCGAATTTCTAACATCAAAAAAATTACAAAAATATTAAAAAAAAATTAATTTCTAAATTTGAATGCAGTTTTATAGAGAATTGCACCAGAAACATTTAGAGGTATGCCACTTCAAAATCCGATGAGGATAAGTTGAGTTATGGAGTATAGAACTCTAGCCTTGGGTCATTTTTTAATTTTTTCGAATTTCTAACATCAAAAAAATTACAAAAATATTAAAAAAAAATAAATTTCTAAATTTGAATGCAGTTTTATAGAGAATTGCACCAGAAACATTTAGAGGTATGCCACTTCAAAATCCGATGAGGATAAGTTGAGTTATGGAGTATAGAACTTCAGCCTTGGGTCATTTTTAAATTTTTTCGAATTTCTAACATCAAAAAAATTACAAAAATATTAAAAAAAAATAAATTTCTAAATTTGAATGCAGTTTTATAGATAATTGCACCAGAAACATTTAGAGGTATGCCACTTCAAAATCCGATGAGGATAAGTTGAGTTATGGAGTATAGAACTTCAGCCTTGTGTCATTTTGTACTTTTTCCGAATTTCAAACATCAAAAAAATTACAAAAAAATTTAAAAAAAATAAATTTCTAAATTTTAATGCAGTTTTATAGAGAATTGCAACAGAAACATTTAGAGGTATGCCACTTCAAAATCCGATGAGGATAAGTTGAGTTATGGAGTATAGAACTTCAGCCTTGTGTCATTTTTTACTTTTTCCGAATTTCTAACATCAAAAAAATTACAAAAAAATTAAAAAAAAATAAATTTCTAAATTTGAATGCACTTTTTCAGAGAATTGCACCAGAAACATTTAGAGGTATGCCACTTCAAAATCCGATGAGGATAAGTTGAGTTATGGAGTATAGAACTTCAGCCGTGGTCATTTTTTACTTTTTCCGAATTTCTAACATCAAAAAAATTACAAAAAAATTAAAAAAAAATAAATTTCTAAATTTGAATGCAGTTTTATAGAGAATTGCACCAGAAACATTTAGAGGTATGCCACTTCAAAATCCGATGAGGATAAGTTGAGTTATGAAGTATAGAACTTCAGCCTTGGGTCATTTTTAAATTTTTTCGAATTTCTAACATCAAAAAAATTACAAAAATATTAAAAAAAAATAAATTTCTAAATTTGAATGCAGTTTTATAGATAATTGCACCAGAAACATTTAGAGGTATGCCACTTCAAAATCCGATGAGGATAAGTTGAGTTATGGAGTATAGAACTTCTGCCTTGTGTCATTTTGTACTTTTTCCGAATTTCAAACATCAAAAAAATTAAAAAAAAATTAAAAAAAAATAAATTTCTAAATTTTAATGCAGTTTTATAGAGAATTGCAACAGAAACATTTAGAGGTATGCCACTTCAAAATCCGATGAGGATAAGTTGAGTTATGGAGTATAGAACTTCAGCCTTGTGTCATTTTTTTTTTTTCCGAATTCTAACATCAAAAAAATTACAAAAAAATTAAAAAAAAATAAATTTCTAAATTTGAATGCAGTTTTATAGAGAATTGCACCAGAAACATTTAGAGGTATGCCACTTCAAAATCCGATGAGGATAAGTTGAGTTATGGAGTATAGAACTTCAGCCTTGGGTCATTTTTTAATTTTTTCGAATTTCTAACATCAAAAAAATTACAAAAAAATTAAAAAAAAAAAAATTTCTAAATTTGAATGCAGTTTTTCAGAGAATTGCACCAGAAACATTTAGAGGTATGCCACTTCAAAATCCGATGAGGATAAGTTGAGTTATGGAGTATAGAACTTCAGCCTTGGGTCATTTTTTAATTTTGTTGAATTTCTACAACATCTAAACAGACGGACATGGCCAGTTCGACTCGGCTATTGATCCTGATCAAGAATATATATACTTTATATGGAAACGCTTCCTGCTGCCTGTTACAAATTACATAGTTCAACGAACCTAGTTACTCTACGAGTAACGGCTATAAAAACCGTAAATGACCAAATGTTGGTCTTACCTTTCTTTTCATTACTTTCATTTGATGTTTGTGGTAGGACACCGAAAGCCTGAGTCTCAAAGGAGTTTTCAGACGTAGATCTCCACTTGAAATGCGAAGGATTGTTGAAAGGGTTGTACCCCATGAGGGATACGTGGCAAAATCAATGTCGGTCCCAAAAATTTCACTTATTCCGGGAACCTTATGTAGTTTGACGGGAGTTCTGCTGCTCCGGCTTCTCGGCCATCTGCTGTGTTGTGTTTTGTGGTTTTATTGGTTTGCGCCAGCACATTCCATTTGCAAAATGATTGGAATTTATGCTTACAGATTAGATGGCCTCGTAGGAGCAAAGGCTCCGCCCTACAAGCCCACAGTTCGCCGCATTGGGATTGGCACTTTCCACATGGCCAAAACCCGGTTGCGGTTGTGCTCCTCCGGCAGACGGATGCAGACAGCCTCCTTTGTCCGGCAAGGATGTGTCCTTCTTGGTTTTTGCAAATCACTGCGGCAACTTTGATATCTGCAAAAATGTTGCATTTCCATTCGATATTTGGCTGGGCCTGGGTCTTTGGTCAATAGCTGCGTGCCCGGCAACCGCTTTGGGCCACATTCGGATCCAATGATTTGCCATGGCATCGCATGAGGTGGCCCTCATTTCATAATGAAATGCTGAAATGCAGAAACGTTGGGCGCTGAAAGCTGAACTCTGGCATTCCCAGAGCCTTCGTGTCCAGGCCCAGGACATGTCAAAGCCATCGCCATCGCCATCGCCGTGGCCGTCGCCCACTTACGCCCAGCTGCGCAAATTAAATAATAGCCGCGAGTGCATAAAAAAGAAAGCGGACCGAACTTTATTTCACTTAAAGCCAAAAGCAACACCAGCCAGGACGTAACAGTAGCCATTGTAGTGGAGAGAACTCCCCCTGCCCTTTGCTTGGCCAACACACACACTCGCCGGTCATATAAACACACCTACTCACACACGTGCATCGCGGGGTTTATGCTGCAATGAAATACGAGAACTGCGGATTTAATGTCCTTAAAAAGCACTTTGCAGCATCGAAGAACATAAGGAATTGTTGAAGAAGTTTATTCCTAAAACAGCAACATGCCTGAGTAATATGTTTTTGAACATATTGCTAGTCGGGACTTAGACAAAACTAAAACAAGTAATACGGCTTAAAAAAATCTACTTTCAAAATAATATCTCCTATAGCCGCGCACATAAACTCTCACTCACACATGTACAGTTTGTTTGCGGCTCACTCTCGCATAAGGTTACATATTTTTTAAGCCAATTTTACAGGCCACTGCCTAACAAGGACATTAATTGGTGGCTGCTCCTCCTGCAAGTCGGGCCGGGGCTTTGGCTTTGGATTTTGCACTGGAACTGGAACTGGCTTTCGCTCTGGCCCACACGCCTTCACTGTGTGCCACGCCCACAGCCGCGCGACACGGCCAAAAGAGTAGTTGACTGTATGCGTTGCGTTTCATCTCTCTTTTCTCTGCATTGGTGCAACTACGATTGCAGCCAAAATAGTAGTGCATTACTTAAATGTAATGTTAATTTATTGTATCTTTTTTCATAACAATGACTGAAGTCTGTCCTGTTACATTTTATGTGCTACCAAATATATTTCACCTGTTGTTAATTTCTATTAACATTCTAATGCAATCTCATATGCTTCTCAAGCAATTATTTGATCATTTTCCCATGTGGATCTAAGGATATGTTATAAAGTCTTGATTTAGACTTATACTTCAACCACAGCTGTGCATTTATATATGTATATATAGATCTGCGGGTATTTTTGTCGTAGTTTTTGCTCGGATCCCTTTTCATCGTTCTTTTTTTTCACTTCAATATTTGCTTAACCCTTTTTTGTATGCCCACCACGCTGACGTC